ATTTTCAACCGAAACTTCTACCATGACACAACCCCCTTTGATTAACGTGGAGCTTGTCGAATCAACTGAAGTTTTCAAGTATCTTGGCTTCACGATAAGACCAAACGGCCAGGCTAAGGATGAAATCGAACTCCGTGTAGATGGAGCTACAAGAGCCTTCCTACAACTCAAACCGTCGTGGAATCGGTGCAAAATAAGCTTAAACACTAAGCTTCGGGTTTACTAGGCTTCTATGTGCCCCATCCTCACTTATGGTTGTAAAACCTGGCCGCTAAGAGTACAAATTACAAGGAAGCTCGAAGTCTTTGATCATTGTTGCTTACGCCTTGAAAGTAAATGGGAGAGATCGGATTTCCAATGATGAGGTTTGACGGCGCTGCTTGAACATTGACAAGCTTTAAAAAATGCTACAACGCCGGCGCCTTCTGCGGTTTGGCCATGTGCTCCGAAGGCCCGACAATCAACTCTCGCAACAGGCTGTAACCCCCGCACCGTGCCGTGGATGGCGTTACTGACTCGGTGGTCAACTGAAGACCTGGAGCAGTACGATCAAGACGGATTTGGAATTACTGGGTCTTCAATCCGTATATGAAATTCGCAACCGGAACCAGAACTGGGTTTCTCACTACGTCAACCGTGCTACTGGTCGTCATGAATGGGCCGCCATTATTAGAGACATCCAGGAAGCCGACTTGTCCTCCCGCAGGAGTTAGTTGATCAAAAGTAAAAAGTAAGTAAGTCCTAGACTCAGATATTCCATAGTCAAAGAGGACTCTGTCCAACTATTCCACCAACCCATTATGGACATAGTGACCACTTCGGACCTTAATCGACGTATGAGACCTGGATCCCGTCAACCCAACTCCACGAACCCCGATCTGTAAGACCAGCAGAATAGACTTTGACCTCTATCCATTGATCTTCCAAGCATGATTACCTCTGGCTTATTACAGTCAGGTCGAAACAGCTGTACAGTGCTTCCTAGCTTTTCAGTTCACACTTCATTTGCTCAATGTTTGAATATCCCCACAATTTAAGCGCACATGACGTATAGATATAATGACCAAAAATATGAAAAGGACTATATCTAACAAAAATAAGGTTAAAGTGACGCCAATATGTTTGCTGTGGAGCATCTATAACACTTTCGAATGGTGCTGGCCAATACTGTTCCGTCATTCGTTCTGATTTCCTAATTTGTTGAGTCCGTTTTTATTCTTGTAGAAATCTCCGTTCAGTACGTTTGTCTCGCGCAGTGGGCAGCCAGATTTATTCGGTGGTCTGTCATTGCCCCGGACTGAATGTCCTCGTCACATCCAGATCACCACTGGAGTTTGAATCCAGCGCCGGATAAATCCTCTTGGTCATGCATTCCCATTCAGTCGGAGCAAATAAGTGAAACAGAAGAACAACTGACCACCGGTCCACATTCTCGTTCACGGTTGCGCATTCTGATCAAGGTTGGTCTACCCTTGCTCCTCGGACAGCTGTTAGCCGGTCTGATCGCTCTGACAGCAATTTGCAGTGCTTTCCTTGTTCAAAACGATATTTCTCTGCCACTTTCGCAAAATCTTTTCCACTACATTCTCCTGTGTCTGGTGTTTCTCAGTATACTGGCTGTGCGAACAGTATGGCGTAAGTGTCACTCCGTTCCGCATATTCCGGATAATGCATCCTCCTGTGATCGTTCCCATCTCAAGCGTCTTGGATTATACGCGCTAGCCGGTTTGATTGATGCCCATGCAAATTGGTCCATTGTGGCTGCATACTCTTTCACCAGTGTAACTAGTGTTCAACTGCTAGACTGTCTAAGCATTCCTACAGCCATGTTGCTTAGTGCCCTGTTTCTGCGTTATCGCTTTGTATGTACACACTATGTGGCCATGGTGATTTGTCTCCTCGGTGCTGGCGGTATGGTGGCCGCGGATGTTCTCGCCAATCCGCCTACAAACACGTCCAACGCGTTGAATGTCACCGGTTCGAATCAAACCAATTCGGACGTATCACAGATTGTCCTCGGAGACTTTCTGGTCATCATAGGCGCGATGGCCTATGCCGCGTCGAACGTGTTGCAGCAGTATTTAGTCATGCGGTATGGAATTGTAAATTTTCTCGCTTATGCCGGGATCACAGCCGCCGTCCCTACCGGGATTTACGCATTCCTACTAGAACGAGATGGTTTGTGGCATCTGTTCACCGAGATTCCCAAGTCCGCCTCTTTTGGAGTGGTTTTTCAATGTCTTTCGGGTTATGTGGCGGCTATGTTTCTTCTCTATTCCCTCATGCCTCGTGTGTTAGCGAAGACCAGTGCCGTGTTGGTCAACATGTCCCTATTGACTGCAGATGTGTATGCTTTGCTTATGGGTATCTTTCTGTTCCATTATCACTTCCACGCCTTGTATATTTTATGCTTTATAGCCATCCTGTTCGGTGTCGGTTTGTTTAGCTATCGTGTTCCTCTAATACGGGACGAACCGTCACGTTGTGTCACTTGTTTCCGGCGTTCGACGTGTAAAAAACAGCTACCTGAGGTGACTGCCGCATTGTCGTCGGCCTCTGGAGATGCTGAGGCTTCTCGCCCTACCGAGTCCAAATTTGTATGATTTGCTNGCTGAAACCCTTCAAGTGTTCCCGACAATCTATCGATTGAATTTGCCAAAATCCGATCAGATGGAGGGGGTTCTTTGCCTCGCTTCCTTTTTGCACTGTTATATTCACGGAAAAATATGGTTCATTTATTCTTTTCTAATATTTTTATCGAATTTGGATTCGTTTTTTAGTATGTGAATGATTTCGATCTCATGCATGCCGCACCAAAGATCTACAGTTCCGCACTTTTCCCGATCTCTTAGAATTCCGTTTTTCGGATAATTTTATTCAAACTTGTTGAGTACATTTTTTGTGAACTCAGTCGTAGATTTAATAATACTATTGGTAATATTGATATTGTTTTTGTTTCATGTACAGCATATGCGCGTCTTTTGGTCGGCGTTTTCCTTCGTTTCCGTGGATAAATCCGCGAAGAATTTTGGCAGTATGTTACAAAGTAGCACCCCCGGTAACACTCTTCAAGAATGCACCTCCATTTCTTAGACTGCCAAATGCTTGCTACTGATACAGGTTGATGACAGTTGCCGCATTTTTGACGGAACAGCTCCTCGCACAACACGATTGTTTTTGGTGGACGTGTATGGCTTTCGGTTCGAGAGAGATCGCTCATCGGGTGGAAATCCGCTATGTTCTCGCAAATCGCCTCTAACCACCTGTCACATCCTGTTCACATGTTTTCATTTACCCATGTACATGATTTTTCGCCCATCTGAGTACGCTAGCGTACAGCGTGGTAGACCGTAAGCATACCGTCTCGATTTTTGCGACCGATAGTACAAACTGAAAACCAAATGGAAATCGGGATGAACACGCTAGTGTAGTATCATGCAGACGTCCGCATGTGTGGCCTCTCTGTTCAGTGCTCTCCGCGCGAAGATTACCGTTTTTTGTTTCAGTTGCCTATCTACTCTCTGGCTTTCTTACTGTGTTCCAACCGTCCGATTAGGGTAGAACAAACAAGTGAAAACCGATTACAACTGTGCTAAGGTTGATAAATGGTCAAAGTTACGGGGCATATGCATGAATGCAACTGTTCACGGTATCCCCCCCCCCTGTGGACCCTATTCAGGAAGCCCTAGCCCCGGCACCACTTGACTTTTTTTCGAGGGCACGCCTATAGTCGTTGCGCAACTAACTGGTGATCTCAATTCAGCAGTATGATAAGACGCGTAAACTGGTAGGTCTCCAGCGGCTCATTCATCTCTCGATAGATTCGAAAGTAATACAAAAATCTATACTTTTCTGTCAGTTGGACAGATATTCTCTATAATTCTTGGCACAGCCATTGGATCTTAATGATGCAATGATGATTCTCAGCCGTGTTCGCATGACTGACACCTCATGGGGGTTTCCAAACCTCAGTTGCCCTCAGTCTGGTTTAACCAACCTACCGAGAGGTTTTTATATGTCTTAGCTTCCTAATGTTGCCACATGTAGCATTGGGGCAAACGACGAAAGCCAAAGAGGTGGTACATACCCCAAGGGCTACTACTACCTCAAGTTTTACTCGTATACTGTGCGATATACTGTTGAGGCCACCCGTCGTGTTTTACTTATCGCAGCCGGTTTTCTCCATGGAAACCTAATTTTCTGACGCGTTCGGTGAGTTTAGGTCAGCCTGACTTGAGAAGAATGTGACGGAATTACTCTCAAAAAGGATAGAGGAGCTGAATGTTTTTTCGAAAGAGGAACCAAAATATAGCATGCTAACATTCGGGGTTTGAGAACTGATAGAAATCCGATTGATAGAGATATCGTTCAGCTACGCTATAGGGGGTGATTGTGGATAGTTGAATTGCGGTGGTAACCTCACTAAACTATCGCCTCGCAGGATGTGTATGTTCAAATCTCACCACCGCTTGACTTTTCCTATTATGTGTTATATGGTAACCCTTTTGATTGTCCGCTTTGTTCTTCCGGAACGTCGTATCTTTGTGTATTTAATAAAAGGAAGTAAAAATGAAAAAAGAGAAAAATGTGACATTCAGTTCAACTCTATCGACAGCACCCACCGCAAATGTTCGTTTTACCACATGGTATTGGGATGCATTGAACATTGGAAGTTGTTCCACGAAATATGCGTTGAGGAGTTTCCCTCCACCGC